CAATTTTTTTTTTTTTTTTTTTGTATTTTCAGTTTTCTATTTTTTCGTTTTTCTGCGCCACCCACTCACTTCAACCCCCCTCCCCCTTCAAAACAAAATATATTTTTTATATTTTCAGTTCTGGTTTTTTCAATTTTCAGTTTACATGTTCGAAATTTTACGAGTTCCAAAGTTATGAGTTCGGAGGTTTATGCGTTTGGAAGTTTGTGGGTTTAGAAATTATAGAGTTTACGAGTTCGAAAGTTTGTCGGTTCAAAAGTTTAACGGTTCAGAAGTTTATGAAATTTGCGGGTTCGCAAGGTTGTAGGTTCGAAAGTTTATGACTTCATATTTATTGTATCTAAATTATTTATGAATACTGTTGAGAAGTTATTTTCCTTAATTAGCATACCAAAACACCTAAAAATGAGTAAGATTACTACTTGTTTTCCAAAAAAATATATTCACGAAAAGAATTTTCCGTTACACCAAACACACCCATAATACAAAATCATTACCCTCTTGAAAGCATGATAGAATGATAGCAACGTACCATAGCAGCAACTAAAATGGTAGACAAGATTCAATCAAAATGGAAACCATACAATTTCAACACACAAAAAGAGAGAGATGATCAATATATTAAAGAAAGTTAGGTATTGACTTGCAGAGTATCTAAACATACTAATTAATTTTATGTAGCTATTGCAATGGCAAATAACGTGTTTTCCTGATTAAACTTGTACTTATTAAACCAATATATAATCATCAAATTCACATATTTTGGCTGATTTAAAAGTTGATTAATTTGATTTGATATATATATATATATATATATATATATATATATATATATATATATATATATATATATATATATATATATACCATATGAAACATTGACATAGGATATCCCGGGAAAAATTTAAAAAATAGCCAGATTTATAACTGGTAATTAAAATATAGCCACGGTTTCAAAAGTAATCGAAATTTAGCCATTTTTTCATATAAAGATTAAATCTAAACAAAAACACCCTTAAAAATCCGGAAATATTCCAGCATAATATGCTGGAGTCCAATATAATATGCGAGAAGTTTATATGTGATAGATTTTAAGTTTAAGTTTCAATGATGACAATATTATCTTCTGTTATATTTTTAGAGTAAACAA